GTCGCGTTCACACTTGTTACGTAATTATCAGGCCATTCACTCTGCCCCATGAAAGCAAAGATACACTCTGCTTCCATTGAAGGCTCGGTTAACTGTGGCAGCCCGATAGGGACCAGCCCAGTTGTAGTTGGCGGGCTGCCTAGTTTAAATGACGTTCTTGAACGACGGCCTTGAGCTCTGGCGGGAGTTCCTCCTTCGTGCCTTTAGTGCGCACGAATTTGGCAAGGTCTTGGAAGTTGCGGAAAAGTTCGCATTGTCCAGCATCGTGGAGCTACTTGCAGAACTTGCGTCGCTTGTTACAGTAGTGGGCGGAGTGACTCATGCCACCGCACACCGCGCATGGTCCGTACTGTGGGCGTCGGTTGTCGCGGTTGGAGTCACGTCGACCGCGTTGGTCCTGATTGAACCCACGGTCACTACTTCGGCGATCTTGATTGAAGCCATTCTCGCGATCAGGCACGTTTCCACGCAGTTGACGGTTGTCTGAACGTGCGTATGTGCCTTCAGCAGCTGCACGGCGTTCATTTTCGTTAGCAGCGGCGAGGTATCGGTCGTTTTCATCCAATGAGAAATCACCATCCGTATTATCGGGCTGAAAGTCGTTGTACTCGTCTTGGACATCGTTGTAAGCGTTCGGATCTTCGTTTGAATACTCGGTGCCTCCCTGAGCAGCTTCACGACCTTCTAATTCAGCTAGTAGGTCATCCACTGTGGCTTCAATGAGCGTCACTCTTGGTTTGTTTCGGTTGTCATCGCGGCGACGGTCATCACGCCGGTTGTTGCGGGCGAATCCATCGTCGCGTCGCGTATCACGACTCTTGGAGTATCGGTACTCACTGTCACGCTTGGCCATCCTCTCCTTGCCCTTATGAACATCTTCGATGATCTCTTCGAGCTCGTGAATGTCGGCGACTCGAGCGTGGTAGAGACTCTCCGCCAGCTTGTCATCATCGCATGTTGCCAGGAACTGCTGTACGTGTTCTTTCGCGTCGCGACCACTCTTCTCGAAGTGTATACGGGCGGTCCGAGCATAGCCATTCAGCCTGTTTATGTAGTCGCACATATGTTCATTACGTTCCCGCTTGGCGGAGTAGTAACGCGACAGTGCCGTCTGCGTGAACTGCGAGCAGTAGTAGCGGATGAACGCGTCGCTCAGCAGCTTCCACTTGCGCTTCGTCTTCTTCGGAAGTTGACGGAACCAATGAATGGCTCCGTCCCGGAGACTTAGCTCAAATGGAATGCACCATTTATCGGCATCTGTGTGGGTTCCAGTCATTTCATAGACGAACCCACGGAGCCACTGCATACAGTTCTCGCTCTTGTTGCGAGAGCCTGAGAACGGCGTGATGCGATCCAGCGGTCGGTGCGAAGCCATTTCAATCCTCGGTGTTGGGTCCACGTCGTTCAGCGTCGCTAGCTCATTCATCTGACGCATCAACTCGAGTTGAGGATCTTCCTCGTCGAATGTACGCACCAAAATGTCATCGTCACTGGACGAACCATCACTGTCGACTTGACGACGTCCGGCACCACCTTTGGGAGCTCGCGCACCGCCTCGGCGACCGAACGAACCCTCGTTACTTGCGTAAATACGTTGCATACGACTCTCCGAACGTGGCGTAACCATGTGCGAGTCTTGAAAGTACGGTGAAGCTTCGGTAGTGCCAAAGGCACCACGCTCAGCTCCACGCTTGGTCGGAGGAGTACGAACGAGTCGTTGGGGCGTCGGCGGCAATGGAATCTTGGACGGATCTTCATCTTGAATCATCGGTCGACTCACAGGTTGCTTTTCGGCATTGATGCCAACAGCGCCAAACGCCTTCCGAAGCTTCTTCTTCCATTTCTGGAGAGCAGCTCCAGCTTCATGTGGACTCCAATCCTGGAGCGACATCGTCGATGGGTACGTCTCGTTCTCGAACCCCAGCGACAACAGTAGCGAAACTGAATCCTCGGCAGCTTGACTAGTCGAACCGAGTTGACTGGGTATTGAAGTTCCTGCGCAAGCGCAGGCCAGTCGGCCTTTTTCATGGGGATGGGCTTGAACAGCTACATCCACTCATCATTCTGCATCAGCGCTTGTACGCGGTCGAAAACGCGCTTGGCGGCTGGTGTATCACCGTTGATAGGTGGGCGAGGTGCCTTCAGCAGTGCTGAATGCTTTGCACTCGCCACCGAAGGTTTAAAACCCTCGGTCCCATCGTCATAATCATCATAGGCCGGTTCCGGTCCCGCAACATCATTGAGCTCGTCGGCGAGGTTCCTCGAAAGGGACTTGGTCGCCCCGCTCAGCCCCGATGATAGCGTGGCCGTCTCCGGCGTCGCTGCGCCTGGATCTGGAGCCGGCGTCTTATCTTCGTAATCTTCATAATCGTGGGCGTCAGGACCGATGTCCGCTTCGTCGTCGAAGCTCACTGAAAGCTCGGTGGCGGCTGCAAAGCGCGCAGCCGGGCTTGAACTCTCGTTGCGAGCCCCGCCAGACTTGGCAGGCGTAACTGGTACCGTCGGTTGTCCTTTCGCCATGTTTCTTGTCTTTTTCTTGTTCTTCTTCTCTTGGTAGCTCGTAAACTGGAAGGCCATACAAACAGCTCACAATGGTCACAATCTGTTCCCGGGTCGCGGCACCAGTTGTGGTGTTGGAAATCCCACGTGAACTCTAGCTACAGATGTAGTTAGGATGTTCCCACAACAATACGTCTACTAGGATAGTAAACGATCGTTCGGGCGGACCTGAAGACCCCAGTTCTGCCCTTGCACCGGGACAAACTGAACCTTGTAAACTACTTATATAGGCCAACCAGTAAAATAAGAACACGCTACTAGCACGAGCAAAGCTAGCAGGTGTTTTGAATCCTCGTGGTCCCAACAGCGGAAGGGTACCAGGCACGGGTAAGCCTTTTACGAGATCACCGAGTGTTCAACACTCGGCTGGAAGAAATAAAAAAGAGGCAATTCAAGCACTCCCAGTCGTGCAAATAGGCAACAATTAGCCGTAACGTAAAACCTTCCGATAATAATCGGCCAATACATAAAGTCTCTTGGCCTTGCCGGATGAACCCTCGCTACAGAGCTTCGAGTTCACCGACAGGCATAACACACTCAAACAAGCTTGACCTGACGCTTACCTTGAAGCCGGACGTCGCTCTGTGTGCTTGAGTGGAAATTCTGTTCTGTATTTAAGCTTACCCTTTCGGGTCTATTCCTAATAAGAAGTCCTAATCAAGTATACAAATATCAAGTGAACAACGATCCGTTATGGATCTTCTTGCATGCCAAGCGTCGTCTGCACCGTCGCATGAGCATCTTTAACGGTCCGCGCCCTGTCCCAGACGGTGAACGTGTCTTCCAAAGGTCGCTGAGTATTCCGCGAACTCATCCCAACCGCCACTGAGGGTTCGTACCGTAGATGGTCCGCTGAATGCGAATCCGGCCAGTCCATTATTAATAATAAGGACAGCCTGGATTCAGTGACATAGGGCCGTATCCGATACTTGTTGAAAACTCGGAGGTGACGCCGTCGAGTCCCTTGCACCTTGGCGTCTCCGTACATCACCCGACCGAGGGATCGTCGCTTGAACAACTTGGGCGGTGTCACGTCTTTGTCGACGGGTGATAATCCGCAACCACGGAGAAATCACTACACCACAGTCGCTTGCGGCCAACGGCATTGCAGTCACCCTCTCCTTGCTTTTTCCTGCGCAATTTACCCATACAGTCGTGGCCCCGCGAGTGGTGATTGTAGAGGTAGGCACATACTCATAGTTGAACCCTAGCAGATAATGTTATTTCCACGTCGTACACGTTTAAAATATTAGGTGTATACCGCTCGGGTCAGCGTTGTAAACAACAGAAACACTAAGCTCGTCCATCTTGAGGCGTACTTGGTCCCTGAGCTCCTCCACCTTCTGCTTTGCGTCGACCGGTGTAGACTGCCTTTCTCGGGTTCGGCGGCGAATAGAGAGCTTGTGGTGGCGCAAAAAAATGCTTTCGACAGCTCCAGGAGGCCTTGAGCAGCTTATTGCGTGATCCGCGGGTCCTGAAAAGCTCCTGGGCTTGCAGCTGGAGCATCATGCTCGTCACAGGCACACCATCGGCTCTCAGCTCGTTTATCCACCCCGCCAATTGTTCCTCTACTTCCGCTGACAGCGCACTCGTGCCGAGGGTGCGGCTATGCTGATGATATTGAGAGCCACCAGCAACCTTGGCCTCTATGACAGCTCTCAGTTTCTTCCCAAGCGTACACCTGCCGTCGTTTCGAGTTAGAATTGCTTGCTAGTTGGGAAAAATTCTACCGTAGCTGTCAGTGTTGACATATCTAAATATTTCAGAGCGCGCAACTTTCTACTTATAAGTCACACCAACCGTTTGTACTACTTCGACTTTGAGCCACTGTGTCCCGTCTTGCGTGGGCGTCGTGTTCGTGCCATCACGCCGCCAGCAAATAGAAATGAGATTGTTGGTATCGATGGCGATCCTGAGTGACTTGCTGAGAACATTTGATCTTTATAATTGAAATTTCATTGTAAATCGTGTGTGCTTTAAAGATGTACCACTGTCATCTGGCACCTTGGGCGTATTTTATTGGCTGATCCAGAATGTGCTTTATGAGATGTCCATGCGCTATGAGATGCCCCCTGCGGTAACGTGATTAAGCACATGACTGAGCTTCACTATGTTCAAAGATCGTGTTCCAGCAAGCGCATTTTACGGATTTGGAATTTATTTTAAATTACCGATAAAACACTGATAAAACCGTTTTAAATGGGTTTTGGTGATTGATTAATCGAAAGTAAACGGAAATCCTAGTAAGTAAACGGATATCCTATGTTTTGTAAGGTCCTGCAAAAATCCTGCAAAGATCGTGCGCATTAAACGGATTTAGAATTTATTTTAAATTACCTATAAAACACTGATAAAACCCGGATTTTGGTGATTGATTATCCGGAAATCCTACAAAATCCTACCCCCCCCCATTTTATAATACATTTCGTCATCAGATTCTGATGACATCCTTCCACAGTGCTGCTGGAAGCTGTCAGGAGACCACGCCGCTCGTGGCCAAGACGCAGCATAACCCGATGAATCTGTATCTACTCACACTCTGTTCTACCATCGGCGGATTCTTGTTCGGCTACGACACGGTAAATGTGAAAGTCTCGTTTCAGAAGAACACTTTTTTTATCTCTCTCTGCATGTTGGTAGGGTGTTATCTCCGGGGCGTTGGTGCTACTCAAAGGGCCAACGGGGTTCAATCTGACCGATCTACAGAGTGAGAGTGTCGTTTCTGCTGCGGTCTTTGGGGCCATTGCTGGGGCTGCTCTCAGCTCGTGTGGTAATCACATGCTGGGACGCCGCCCAGTCATCTTGCTGTCATCGGCCATGTTTGCCATTGGCTCCTGTTTAATGGCTACGGCGGAGACTTTTATCGAGTTACTGTTCGGTAGGCTCGTGGTCGGAGTGGCAATTGGCTTCGCATCGATGACAGTACCGCTTTACATTGCAGAGGTGTCACCCCCGGATATTCGCGGTCGATTGGTGTCGCTCAACACCGCACTAGTGACCGGTGGACAGTTCTTTTCGGGGGTTCTAGATGCTCTGCTGGCGGATATGGACAACGGATGGAGATATATGCTCGGACTGGCAGCAATTCCTGCGCTTGTGCAGTTTTTTGGGTTCCTGCTGTTGCCTGAGAGTCCGCGATATCTGATCAGTAAGGGGAAAATGGAGGAAGCATGGACAGCACTGAAACAGATCCGAGGAACTGATGATATTCAGACGGAAGTTACTCACATTGAGGCCGAGATTGTGCGTGCCGAAGAGGAAAATGTGAATATCTGGGGTGCCATTCGTTCTCCTGTTGTGCTTCGGGCATTGGGACTTGGCTGCTTCCTGCAGGCTCTTCAACAGCTCTGCGGGATCAATACGGTAATGTATTATGGAGCTACAATTATTCAGCTCGCAGGCTTTACCGAACCAACTACCGCCATTTGGCTGTCGGCGCTCGTGTCATTCAGCAATTTCACCTTTACTTTCGTGGGTATTTACCTGGTGGACCGCAAAGGCCGACGATTGCTCACTCTCGGCAGTTTAATCGGCATTTTTTTGTCGCTCACGGCACTTGGAGCGAGCTTCTACGCCGCCGAGTTGCGATCAGTGGAAGCTGCTGGCTTCGGTGAGTGCTCCCAGTTTTCAACTTGCTTGGACTGCATTGCCAGTACGACGTGTGGATTCTGTTTGGAAGGGAGAGCATCGGAGGCAGCAGCTGTGACAGAGAATCTGTGTCTGTCTGGAACTCTGACATCAACAATCCACGGATCGTGTACAAAGCCGAATTGGAGCTTCGAATCGTGTCCGTCTGATAGCCACACTGCTGGGTGGGTAGTGTTTGTGACTCTATTCATCTATTTAGCATGCTTTGCCAGTGGCATGGGCTGCATGCCCTGGACCATCAACGCGGAAATCTACCCTCTGCATGTCCGCAGCTTTGCTCTGAGCATCGCTACATCGGTGAACTGGTTGTTCAATCTGTTTGTATCATTTACATTCCTCACCGTTGTGGATACGTTTGAGCCGTACGGTGCTTTTTGGCTGTATGCATCTTTCGCACTCCTCGGACTTGCCTACTTGTGGAGGAGGCTACCAGAAACGAAAGGACTGGAGCTCGAAGAAATCCAGGGTATCTTCGAGAAGCAGGAAACATACAAAAAGCGATAGAAGTACGCAGTAACCTTGCAAGTTGTGAGTGTCTACTGTACCAAATAAATTGTTACACTACGTGTAGAAAACTCTCGTCAGACTGAAGTGAACACGTTTATGTTTTATTGTCAAGGAGACTGCACAGATTCCAATTCTCTACTTGATCTTGAAAAAAGTTTTCTTGTCGTCGCAATGAACGTGTGATGGCGCGGGGCTATTTTCCTGGGAGTTCCCGGAGGATTCTATATCAGTCCGCCCTTCCAATGACAACTGCTTCTATCGAAACTATTCATTAATCGTCAATGTTACCGAACACAGTACTGGCACCTCGCCATGAGGGATGAGCTCAAAATTAGGCTAAGGCGCTGCGGAGAATATCTCCCGAGTACAAAATCACTTAACAGCACGTAGATACTGAGTCAATATCTAGTCAACAGACTTTTTTATTGACTAAGTCTGCTTGGCCTTCGCTCTAACTACACTAGAAGGGGGGGCAGGGACCAAAGTTTGCGTCGCGCAACGATGAGAGTACGTTCGCCTATGTCTGTGGAGGCATCATTGCAAATTGTCACGTATTAATAGGGCAGGCACGATGGCCAGAACGTTGATGTTCGTGCTTCGCGATTGTCGTACCCGGTACGAAATCTGAACTTCCACTTTAGTTTGAAACGGTCGAGTTTAATTGGATTGTTTCTTACTGACGTTATTTAGTTTAATACCCTGTGTTCAAATGTACTTCGAAAGTACCTTTGAACACTTTGGAGTGTTTCAGCAGCCTGTTGAGTAGGTTAGAACGACCAAAGCAAAGACCTACTTCGAAAAAAATAATCGACAATCGATGACAAAAAAAAACGTTTCTCAATCGCTGGACTCGTTCTGACTACGGTTGAAATCAAAGTACATTTAACATTTCTTCACGAGGCGTTTCTCATTGCAAACAGTACATGGCCGTGCTTGGTTCGTCGCGTCCTCTATGCTCACATGGGGTTCCACATAACGATGTCAAAGAGTCGTCCGTAGACGGATGGAGTCCTTTGGGTAGTCGGTAATCTAACAAACTTGAACACAAGCGTCATTAGATCGACGTTTTGCTCCCACATTTCGATTTCCACCACATAAGTGAAAGGTCTCACAACCGATCAACACTCTGTCACCGCAACACCACAGAAGAAGAAATCCCAGTTGTCAGTCTCATGCAGAGTCTCCACGGCGATGATTTCAAGCTGCAAATGTGCCCCCTCGTGTGGTAAGCAGTCCGTGCCATCGATCTCTTGTTGCTGCCAAGTTCTTACACTCGTCATTGCTTCGTATTTGTCAGGCAGCACGTGCAGCTTCGACTGAGCCTCGAACAGCATTGGACCCAGCACCACGATGTAGTCGTCCTCTCTGTCACTAGAAGTCGCCGTCGTCCTCTCTCTTCTGACCGCGTCCTCATGGAGCAGATCCCACTCGAGTCCAGCACGCGACTAGTGCATCCAACTTCACGAGATCTTAGGCGTCTGCGATTCACACTGCAGGATGGAGGCATTCGCCATCGCTTTCAAGCGTCTGATGAAGCTGCGTACGAGAAATGGTGTGTAGCTATCGCTGACGCCATTGGCGGGGCTCAGGAGATGGAACAGACACTGCAGACGACCAACGAGAAGCGGAACCAGGTGGACCATCTCCACGCTGAAGTCTACGACCGAAACACCACAAACTATAAACTCATTCAGCTGCACAGGCCTGACGCCAAGTCCCGTACTGTCGTAAGCGAAGAAGATCAGCACGAAGATTGCTCCCCCATCGACTTGAGTCGGCCACTTGACGTTCATTACGACGCCTACGAGCCCGACGAAAAGGTTCTCGTGCATCGCCTTCCATGCAACAAGCAACCGCGCAACATTTTAGTATCTCAGCTCTCGGTTGCCCCTGAAGATATTAATTTTGACAATCGCGTCGATATTTGCATTGAGAAACAGCAAAGCACTGAACTTGACACTGCAACAATTAGATCATCCGACGACGAAGAAGAATCGCCAAAACATTATCCGGCGAGATGGAGAGATCTGTGCCAATTCCCAAGCGTGTTTGAACGCCCAGTGAAGCAATGGGGAAGAATACGTCCGCTTTCAACTCGCGAGACTTTGCGACGACGTCTGATGTCTGACGCCAGAAAGCACTGCATACTCCCTTATGGCTCCCCGAAACAACCTGAAGATGAAGTTGAAGGTACATTCAACCTAGGTTTCCCTATCAAGATGAGCGCCAGCTAACAAGTTTCTGTAGGCCGTGTTCGACTTGTTTGGCTCACAGTTGAGTAATTTAGCCCCCCCCCCCAAAAAAAAAAAATGATGGCTCCCGTTATTTGGGGCCGTGGAACACGGCGTGTTCGTATCTTAATACTCAAATAAGCGTTTTTAATGCAGCATACTTCAGTATCGAGTAATTGACGGAGTCGCATGATCTTCAATCCATCGCATACGCAATTTCTACGATGCCTGCAAAAAAATGACTGGTAACCATTGATGGATTATTGATACACACGGGACAAAGCTCGTCCGACCATTTGTTGCGATGGCTATAACCGGGTGCTTCCACTTCGCTACTCTTTTTCTGGAAAGCTTACACGATTGCAAAATACTTGAATACTTCGTTTGAATATTTATTAGCACACGCTAATTCCTTTAGCTTCTTGAATATGGCCGTTCTTAGTCGACTTGTCGCTCAACGCGGAGTACTTTACTCGGTCCGCGAATATCCGCTGAATATCTTCCAGTTCAAGACCCTTGGTCTCCGGTAATTCTCTCCAAAGGTATGCAAGCCCAAATAACGCAATAACAGCATACAACCAAAAGGCTCCGTACGGTGCCAACGCGTTAATTGTCGAGAGGAAAGTAAATGACACGAGCAGATTGGACACCCAATTCACAGACGTTGAGACGCTCAACGCAAAACTTCGTACACGAAGGGGATAAATCTCAGCGTTGATCGTCCATGGCATACATCCCATTCCGCTTGCAAAGAATGCAAGATACGTGAACAGTGCGACAAGAATGGCCCAACTCGCTCCATTGCTGTCGTTAGGACAGGAATCAAATGTCCACTCAGGACTCGTGCAGAATCCAAGAGACGGAGACGCCGCATCTCCCGGCATACACAAGTTGGCTTCCATACTCGAGCAGTAGCCACAAGCAGCACTCGCCACGCAGTCGAAACAGGTAGAAATGCCTGTACACGCCCCCGTACCTTTAGCCTCTACAGACTCAATCTCAGCCACGAAAAAGCTGCCACCAAGCGCAACAAGAGTCAAGAATACCCCAGCCAAACTCCCGAGAGTAAGTAGCCGGCGCCCAGCTCTTTCCACCAGATAAATGCCGACAAACGTGAAGATAAAATTACTAAAGGAGACGAGTGCAGATAGCCAGATAGCTGTGGTGGGATCTGTAAATCCGGCCATTTGAATAATTGTTGCACCGTAGTACATGACTGTGTTGATACCACAGAGCTGCTGCAAACACTGCAGGAAACATCCTAGTGATAGAGCCCGCACCACAGGTGGAGACCTTAATTCTTCCCAAACGTTGGACTCCTCAAGCTTCGATCCTTGCAGCTCCGCTTTGATGTGCTCCAACTCCGCGTCGATCTCCTGATCACCGCGAATCTTACGCAGAGCAGCTCGTGCTTCATCTTCTCTCCCCTTACTAGCAAGATGGCGTGGACTCTCCGGTAGCGCCAGAAACCCTGCAAACTGCACAATAGCAGGAATGACCGCGAGCCCGAGCATGTATCTCCATCCTCCCTCTGTATCGGCCAACAACGCATCCAGCACACTGGCAAAGAACTGACCACCTGTAATCAACGCCGAATTGAGCGACACTAACCGCCCTCGGATCTGTGGTGGTGACGCCTCTGCAATGTAGAGCGGAATTGTCGTTGACGCACACCCGATACCAACACCAACAATCAGCCGACCAGCTATCAACTCGAGGAAACTCCCCGCCACCGCCATGAGACCTGCCCCCACTGTAAACAGCGCTGAGGAAGCTAAAATCACTTGACGCCGACCGAATTTATCATTGCCAATACCGCTGAGCGCAGCACCTGCGATTGCGCCACTTACTGCAGAAGCCACAACCGCTTCACTCTGCAGATCAGATAGAGCGAAACCTTGCGGACTCTGGAGCAGCACCAGAGCGCCAGAAATCACTCCCTATTACATGCAGAAGAGCGGCGTAAATAATACAGAGTGAGAGGGCGGTGGGGGATTAGAGAACGTGGAGACTGACGGTGTCATAGCCGAAGAGGAAGCCGCCGATGGAAGCACAAAGCGTCAGGAGATACAGGACTGGAGAGGGTGCTGGTTTGTAGTCGGTGGGGTTTGTGGCATCATCGCAGCTGGTGGAGGGAGGAGGAGATGGCTCCGATTGTTGTGGGGAAGCAGGCAAAGGCGTCGAGTTGGTCTCCGTCATGGTAAAGTCGCTTGCACCACGTTACATGTACAGACGGCCGACCTGGTTCTGCTTGCAACCGGTAAAGTTCTCTGAAATTTATTCGCAAAATCTCCATGTTTTGTCGAAGTACTGTACATGTATGTTTTTCGTAGGTTTTACCGAAATTCCTTTCAATTGAGTTGAGAAAACGTAAGATGCAATCGCCGACGTTATGGGGGAGACTTTTGATTGGATGAAAACAGTTATTTTAACGTTGAGTCGTGCACTAGAAAGTTTACTCTTCATCACGCACTGACGAGTTCCCTGTAGCATAGGTACTATTGCTGTGGCGCGTGCGCCGCTTCCGGCGCCTAAGTGGCCGCCCACATATGCCATCCGGACTTCTCTGCTCCTGGCCGGCTTCCCTGATGAGTCTTAGTACTGTGGTGAGCTTGATTTGGGCATTTCTCCGTTTTCGTTTGCTTGGCTTAAACTCCAGTGTGTTGTACCCAATCTTAAACAGCTCGATGGCATGAACTTTGTCACGGATGGCCGGCATCGGTTTTCCAAGGTCTTTTTCAATCCCGTTTATGATATGCCGCATCATAACTGACCACTCTGACAGTGTTGCTTTCTTTTGTGGCGTGACCAGATCGTACGATGGTATACCCTTGTATGGTGGATAGTTAAGCTCCGGATTGCCGATCCACCACAGTATCCACGCCCCCAGCGGATCGATACTTGGAAAGGCGAAGTCTTTTGGAAGCACGTGAAATTTCCCACCCCATGTATGATAATAGCGAGTTTGTGCTGTCGATAAAGTTGAATAAGGCCGCTGATTTCTCTTTTTGAAGCCCAACCTCTTCTAATAACGCTCTTAATTCCTCATGCAAAAGGTCCCTCGTTATATTACCCGCTGCCACACCTTTCTTTTCCAATATCGCTTCCATTCTTTGCTCAAGTTTATCAGGAAGTAAGTCGATAGACTGCTGCTGCTTATCAAGTTTTTTGTAGAGCTCAATGTAGGGCGGAATACCTGTCGGGTGCATCCAGCTCGAATCGCCAAGTTGAAGTTGTTCTTGTAGGCTGTGAAAAACGCTCACATTCGTAAAGACTATTGTCGAGAGCAGAGGGTGGTTTGTTGGTAAATTCTGCTGTAAATATTTCCTGTGAAAAACCAGCGACGCCAGACATAACTGTAAAATGCCGTTTAAATTAGGTTCATCCGCAAGACTCGGAAAAACCGTTCTCATCACTGATGTTGTTGCGCTATCACCGGTGGAGTTAAAATGTGGCGGTAGTGTAGCAAATTTCGAATCGTTTATAGGCAGCCCAGCAACGACGCGACCTAAAAATTGGTCTCCTGCTGCTTCGTAGCGGAAATAGCGATCCTGAACTCCACCAAGTGACCAACCACAGCGTAAACAAACACTCACAATTGAAGGACCCCCAGTACTTCCACCGCACGCAAATGTCGCGACACCTTTTCGTACCGAGTGAGTACCATAGGTTTTTGCGGAGCCATCGAGTTTTAGAAGACTACCGAAAGTCTTACTAAATCGAAGCTTCTGGTTGGACCCTGGGAATAGTGGCCCCTGTTGCAATCTTGGGTGGCACGCCAAGTAAATTGCGAGCGCTGTTACCCAACACGTAGAAGGACTTAGCGGATTCGCGTAAACGTGACGAGAATCACGCGGCCCAGTGCCTTCCTGATTCGTTTTTGTCGTGACAAATATTACACCAATGCCATCGTCTTTAGCCACAAAATGCTGAGTTTGTACGGTTTGAACAGATATTGATCTGCACGTTAAATTCCATTGGGATATTAGGAAGAGATGAGAAAAACCTCCATCACCAAGTTCCAAAGTTTTTTCACAGAGTTTCTGGTAAAGCGAGTAGGTCAATGGCTGCTTCCCGGACGTCTTCGGGCTACTAATCTGGTCACTATCAGCCTCCATGCGCTTCATTCCCGAGAAAAGCTGTTTCATTCCATCTCCATATTCAGGCGGCAAAGCTAGACGCCTCACTCTATACAGGTCCTTAATTGCACTCCGATAACCACTTAGTGTCCCAGCTTTCACATCACGCTTTTGTAAACAAGAAACTGCTCAAAATACGGAGGCGTGAACTCCATTAGATTAAGTTCACCACTGCTGTCGAAGAATCGATCCGTGTTGTGGTCGACTTTAGCAAGCTCCTTGCGAATCCACTTTGCAATGCCGTTCAAGCTACTCTTGTACTTTCCTCGTGTTTCCTTGGTAACGCAGGCATCTCGGATTGCCTCCACGTCAGCTACAGCCACCCCGCAGGCCGCGCTTTCGCTGGTCTGTTGCGCGCTTCCTTCACTCATTTTACAGTGGCTTCTGGGTAGTTTTAGATCCATTTTTGGCCAATTGGAACAGCGTATAATCGTAAGACGATTCCACTTACGATTTGTTGGAAACTCGGGATGGCAAGGCGTTGTATAGTGAGCCTTTGTCGAAATACGAGTAAGAATATTTCTTTTAGATAAAAGGTAAGTGGTCAGCGCTTACGAATTGACGCGAAACTCAATATATTACTTATGAAAGTACAGGAATCTCAAAGGGCGCACTGATTACTAAATGACAATAGAGGAGGGTGAAATACAGGAGCATAGGAGGTACAGATATTAAAGTTTAATTTACCGGTACACCAAATTCCTTCTACCATATCGCAACCGCTCCGACACCCTACCCCTTTCCGACATGTTTCCGACAGTTCGGATCCGCCAATCAGATCATGACGGTGTACTCAGATTAAGTACGCTTACACTAAGTACGGTCGCTTTTATAAGTACGACCATCCCAGTCAGCTTTGGAAAGAGAGTTCGAAGGTGCAAGGAAATGCTCTAAAGAGGCCTGTAGGCCGAGAAAACTCATGTTTTTTGTTTAGGGGCATTATAGGCTTCACAGCACTGTGCTCAACAGCCAGCAAATTCATGAATGAGACCCGATGCCAGGGTGAGGGGCCTCTATTAGAGTTTTTTTTTTTAAATAATGACACTTAAGCCAAAAATAGTGACATCATTGTCGTAGGCCAGTCATTTGGATTAACCTCATTCAGGTTTTTTGCTCAGCCAATAAAACAACGTCACGTATTAAACCTTGCCTAGGTTTTTTTACTTAGCCAATCATGCAGCGCCACAAATTACCGACAGGGGCCTTGTGGTCTCAGTCTTCTTTTTCCAGAGCCACCCCAGCAGATCTCCCGTAGCAAAGGACCAGTCCAGAGCACAGTATGCCATTGCGCACACGAATATCGCCGGCACTGCTGGTGCAGCGCTCGGATGGTAACGAGTGGGGGGTCCAATTCCCTGCTGTCGGCTTATGATGTTTGCGAAGAGTTGCAATTCATTCAAATCTACTCACTTGTCTTACACATGTCCTACGAATTGAAGTATGTCTTGGGTTGATGTAGGCGCAGGATCAGCAATTTTGTTTGAGGTGAGGTGTGTACGGTACGTCGTGATACGGCCGTCGAGGGCTCCTAAGCGATGAAGTTTGCGCATCTCACGCAGTACGCTACCGCTGCCCTTTGCTCGGATACCTTGTCCACTCAGGAAGCCGAGGACCGCCGATTCTGCACGTTGGCCGACCTCGAGAGCGCGATCCTTGTAGTCCTCCGATCTCTCGTGAAGCTGAAACCCGCCCTCCAGGAAAAGCTTCATGTACGCGACGATCAAGCGGTAATCTGACTCCTTTTGTCGGTCCTTAGAGCTCCAGACGCGAGGCTGCCGTGTGTACCACTCGAACCAGATCGATGACAGGTTGGTAGTCGCTTTCTTTCTGCGTTTCGCTGCAGGTGTTTGAGCTGATGAAACTTGCTCCTATTCTGTAGTTTGGGCTGGCTCTTCGTGCGCAGGTCGCTTAAGGATGGCAGCCTCTAGCACCAGCAGGCGTGCAGACAACAGCCTATTGCTTTCGATAAGCTCATTAATGACAGCAGCGTGATGACACTCCGTTCGATTGCAGCCGTTCTTTTCAGTGTCCTTCCTTTGTTGAGCAGGTTTGGAGGCAACATGGCTCAGCGCGACTGACCACGCCAGCAAGTCGGTGTGGGAGATGTCAGCTGCTTCCAAGCATTCTTTGACTCGAACAACGAACAAGCTCCTGGGTTCGAGAGTCTTCACTTCCGGGAAATGCCTAATTAGGTAGGCGGTAAGGACCCCAATGACCTTGCGACTCGCGTTTAGCTTGTTGTTCTTCAGCCCTACACAGGGAGCGAACAGCAAACTCCTGCAACCGGGTCATGCGCTCCTGAGCCCCATGGTCGAGAATGGCAACATCAAGAATCATCGGTGCCTCGTCCGCAGCCCACTCGCTCAAGACCCGTGCTACTTTACGGTCCTCGCGTGGCGTGTTGAATACGTAGGCGAATCCTTTGTTGGTGCGCGTCATGTCCCATGACCCACGATCAAAGATCTACTGTGCAGCCAGCCGCTCGTCCCCGTTTGCATGCTGCGCCCCGCCCCGCCTGAAGGAGTGCGAGGTCAAGTTGGCTGAGGCTCCTGCCGGCTCCGACACCCGCTTCAGGAACCGGTTCACATACGCTTGAACCCCGTCGTCACCGCGAGCTTGGTTGGTCGCTGAAGGGTTGGCTGCAGCGGAGCTCGGGACGCTTCGCAGAGTGGCAGCCGCCGGGTCAGTCATTCCTGCTGCAAAAAGCTGCGAAGAGGTGGCAGCATTGACCGAAGGTACTCGTAGTACATCGAGAAGGGGTGCTGCTGCATCAAGTGAGGGTGCAGACGGTGTCACAAGAGAAGGAAGCTGGCTTAGCAGGGACACACAAGGCGACTCCTGCATCACCAAGGCTACTGCGAGCGTGTGCAGCGGGCAGGTCACAA